TACTAGGTCTCTGTTTCTCTGTCCTGGTTTTTCTATGACTTCCAGTTCACCAGTATTGCTGACTTATCTGTTCTCAACCTCTCCTCCCTGCCTTTGTTTCTACTGAGATGGTGGTTGATTATTTTCTGTTGTTCACTCAGCTCCACATTTAACTCTTTCCTCCCATTTTTCCATTGTATTGTCCACCTTGCCCAACCCCTTAGCCTTGGCTTATCCTGTACATCCACCTCCTCTGCTCCTATTCTTGCACTGCAGAGCCTCTCTGACCAGGCTGACTTCTTCCACAACCACTTGGTTTTTGCACCTTCAGTTCTGTCCTCATCTGTGCCAAAGAACCATACTTCTCCAGTTGAATTGAATCCCGGGCTTTCAGTTCTAGTTGCTATTTTGCCGCCTTTCACTCATAAGAATGGCCATACTGGGTCAGATCAAAGGTCCATCTAGCCCAGTATCCTGTCTGCCAATAGTGCCCAATACCAGATGCCCCAGAAGGAGGGAACACAACAGGTAATCCTCATGTGATACCTCCCCGTCACCCGTTTCCAGACGGAGGCTAGCAACACCATTCCTACGCATCCTTGCCAATAGTCATTGACTCTAGCTCTTTTTTGAACCCTGTTAAAGTCCTAGTCTTCACCACATCCTCTGGCAAGGAGTTCCAGAGGTTGCCTGTGTGCTGAGTGAAGAAAAACTTCCTTTTGTTTGTTTTAAACCTGCTGCCTATTAACTTTATTTGGTGACCCCCAGTTCTTTTATTGTGGGAGCAAGTAAATAACTTTTCCTTATTTGCTTTTCCCGCAACAGTCATGATTTTATAGACCTCTATCATATCCCCCCTTTTGGTGTCTTTTTTTTTTCCAACCTGGAAAATCTGTTTTATTAATCTCTCTCCATATGGGACCAGTTTCAAACCCGTAATCGTTTTTGTTGTTCTCTTCTGAACTTTTTCTAATTTCAGTATTTCTTTTTTGAGATGAGGCAACCCTCTCTACACAGTATTTAAGATGCAGATGTACCATGGATTTACATGCAGGCAATATATTTTGTCTTAATATTTATCCCTTTCTTAGGGTGTGCCTGCACTGCACAGTTTTTAGTGACAGGGCTGTGTTAGACGTAAGGCAGTGTAAACACTATAGGCCTTTTTCCAACAAAAACTTCCATCCCCTAGAAGTGAGCGGCTTTTGCTTTGTTGGCAGGAGTGCTCCCCAAAGCACTGTTTATGCTAGTATTTGCCTTTGCCATGGGGGGAGGGTTCCTGTGAATGACTAAGCTGTCACTTAACTGCCAGTGTAGACAAAGATTTCCAAAATCCTGTTCGCAAACCTCACATTTTGCCACTGCTTTCATCCACTTCTCGCTTTGCTCGGAATCTCACTGGCTGCCTCCAAGGGAATACTGATAAAATACAGCGGGACTTCCTTCTTTCCCTCAGGTCTTTCCTCCAGCTCTGTCACAAGCTCAGACATTTTTCTTCGGCTCTCCTCATCTTAAGCATTCGGTTGCTTCAGCGACCCCATCTTTTGACCTCCATCATGCCCTCTCCCCTCTGGCTGTCTCCTAGTAATACAAACATGCTCGTCTCTCCCCCCCCACCATCTTAATTAAAAAGAAAAAGCTAACTCTTATTCAAAGTAGCAATAAGACCCTCCGGAAAAGGGCATTTTTTCCGGAGGATCGGGGCCAGTGTAGACGCTCTTTTCCGGCTTTTTTAAAAGCCGGAAAAAAGCGGCGGACATTTTTATTTAAATGCCGCGGGGGATATTTAAATCCCCCGCGGATTTCCCTACGACGACTAGTGAAATTTACATGCCCCTTCCGGAAAAGGGGCCAGTGTAGACTTAGCCCTCTTGTTGAACATAATTCTTTGGCCTAGTGTTGCCTGCTTTTCTCATAAAGGGCATGATCCAATGCCTACTGAAGTTGGATGCCAGCTTCCTCATTACATGACCGATTAATTTGTAGTAGTGTTTCCCAGGGAAGCAGGAGAAATTCCATTGCCTGAGGCATTTTACAGTAGACTGGAAAATTGAAACTGTCCAGTTAGGAGAATCTTGTTTTTGCTTGTAGAAGGGGTGGACTTGCTGAGCTAATTAGCCGTTTCTATTTCTATGGGTCAGACTTGTGTTTTGGTTATACAGTTCTAAGTCTGGAGTGACTGTGCTGACTTCAGTGGAGTTACGTGAGCAGTAAATGAGATCTGAATCTGTCCCTGTGAGGTTGTTTGTGTATTGGCCAGGCTTCATAAACTGAGCAACCAAGAGGACTGAGCTTTTTGTAGGTGATTAATGCCCTCTGCACCTACTAATCAATTCCAGGGACTGCTGTAAAATGGGTACACTATCTGCAAGATTGTCCCCAGCTATGTGGAAAGCAGGGTTCTGTCTGGGCAACAAAATAAAGTGCCTGGAGAGAAGACAAATCCTTTGGAGAACTGAATTTTTGTTCTAAGTTTACAGCATTTGAATGGTCTTGCTCAAAAACACCAGTTTCACAAAACCAGTTTGCCTAGACTTTTTTGCAAAGGTGCCAAAAAAAATCTGAATCTCAGGGTATTCTGAGCCATGTTCATACATATACCATCTCTTAGGCAAGGAGGTTAAAATGTCACCAGCAAAACCAAAATTCTCTGCCTTTTTTCATGGAGAATATCTTGCATTTCTGACTCTCTTTTAAAATAAGAAAGCAACTCCAGGGGCAATAACAAGTGGGCAAGTTTAGGCTCTCTAACCCTGGGAAAGGTGATCCAGAACCAGCACTATTGACTGGGATATTCCTGAGTGATCTAGGAGCACAAGTCCCATTGCAATTCCAAGCTGGGTTTTCAGTGGTCTTTGGGTTTCTAACTCACTAGGTATGGAGGGTTTTGGAAAATTCCACTTTGTCTATAGCTATTAGGTGAGTTGTTTTAAGTAGAGTTCAAGTACCTAATCCCCTGAGTCCCAGGCTCCAGCCTAGTCAGACCATTCGTGCTGTCTGAAGTTGTCAGGAGGAGGAGAGAGACTCCTCCCCCTTCTCTAATTTCAAGTTACTACTGGAGATCCAGCTGCCTGCTCCCTCTTTCTTGGGGAGACGGGTTTTATGTCCATCCCTTAGTTGTTAGTGCAGTTGAGGGTTTTTAACATAAGAGTTGCACCTGAAATCTATGCTGACTGTATCAATTCACAGTCTGTGTAGGAATGGTTCATTAATGTTCCATGCAAGCACAGCAGTCGGCCTTCACAAATTGCATCCCATTTCAGGATCAGGGCCTTAGCTTGTAAGCGGCTTGCGGTCAGAATCTCGTCTGTCAGCATGCTCTGAAGTGTTCCAACCGTTAGGGGTGTTTTCCTACGGGTGCTGGTCCCATTGCCTAGCTGTGGCAAAGGAAGTAGACTTCCTCAGTGCCCCAGTGTGTCTGTTGGGTAGCGAGGGGGTAACTTTTTTGTATTCTTTGCTTCTCAAGCAAGAGCAGGGTTTGCAAAGAGAAGAGACCTTCTTTTGGGGCACTTGCAGAGTGCACAGATGGTTCCAGTGTAGGGCAGAGTCCAATTTCCTACAGTGTGTGTTTGGGTACTGCCTCCAGCATGATGGGACAACACCGCCTGTGCTTTGCATGATTGTTTACCTGGCTAATTGGCCAGTGGCTCTCACTTCTGTAACTTCCTTTTCCAGAGAGAAGTTAGAAGATGGAGGACGTGGTGATTGCAGGATTGGCAGGAAAGCTGCCAGAATCTGAGAACATGCAAGAGTTCTGGGAGAACTTACTCAGTGGAGTGGACATGGTCACAGAAGATGATCGGAGGTGGAAGCCAGGTGAGCCCTGACATTGTCTGCATTTGGAGCCTGAGCTCTCCAGGTGAGCTCCAGGAAAGGAGCCTTTGGCAGGAAAGCCCTGCCAGTGCTCATGAACTCACGTCTGATGTAGGGATGCTAAAATCGTTAACTAGTTAAAACAGTTAGGTGCTATTGCTTAACGCAGGTCCAGCTGCCGGCTGTGGAGTCCTGCCACCCCCTCCATAGCCAGGGCTGCTCCAGCCTGGTGCATTTGGCCACTGCTGAAGTTAGCTGGCAAGAGCCGGTTAAGTGGTAAGCAGACCAGTAAGCCTCATGCTTACTGGGTAACTCTTTAACATCCCTGGTCTGGTGTTCCTGAATTTTGTGGCCTCAGTCTCCTGCTCGGATAAGGATCTGATCATGTCCACTCTATTGTGGTCTCTGTCACGGAGTGAGAGCCAAATAAACTTTAAGATTGACCTGTTCCAAACCCCTAATAATTTTTGTTGTCCTTTTCTGAATCTTTTCCAATGCCAATATCTTTTTTGAGATGAGGCAACCACATCTGTACGCAGTATTCAAGTGCCATGGTTTTATACAGAAGCAATAAGATATTTTCTGTCTTATTCTCTATCCCTTTTTTAATGACTCTTAACATTCTGTTTGCATTTTTGACTGCTGCTGCACATTGAGTGGATGGTTTCAGAGAACTATCCACCATGACTCAAGATCTTTCTCTTGAGTAGTTGTAGCCAAACTAGTCCCTATCATTGTGTGTGTGTGTGTGTGTGTGTATGTATGTATGTATGTATGTATATAGTTGGGATTATTTTTTCCAATGTGCATTACTTTGAAATGTAATGTGGATAAATGTATTTGCCATTTAGTTGCCCAATCACTTAGTTTGGTGAGATCTTTTTGAAGCTCTTCACAATCTGCTTTGCTCTTAAGTGTGTTGAGCAGTTTGGTATCCTCTGCAAATTTCACCATCTCACAGTTCACCCCTGTTTATTTCAGCAGTGCAGTTTCAACTGTCAGCACCATCAGCAGTGTCTAGCTGTTGTTAGCATCAAGCAGCATTTCTAGTGACACTGCTGTTTACTGAGGGTGGGACGGGGTATCTGGGGGCTGGGAAGTAGCAAGATCACCTCAGTCTTTTGTCATATATCCTGGTTATAATGTTCTCGTCTATCTGGCAGTCCACTGAAAATCCTTTTTCTAACTGAAGGGAAGTGCATGTGCCAGACGCACTTGAAAGCTCATCAGCTGCATATGTGGAAAGTAGCTGCTGTGTTGCTAGCTGGTGGCACAGCTCACCAGGCACACGCTGTGTTGTAGAAGCTGCTTCTGTTGGTGCAACTTGCCAGAACACAAGTTTGCTGAGCAATACCAGAGAGCAGCAAATGGGATTTAAGTGTGGAGAGGGTTCTATAGGAGCTTTACTCTTCTTACAATTCTGTTTCGTATAGTTCATAACACAACGAACTAGCAGTCACCCAATGAAATTGAGAGGTGACCGGTTTAAAAGAAGCGCAAAAAAAAAAAAAAGGTATTTCTTCACACAGTCAACCTGTGGAACTCTTCAGCCTAAACAACATCCTGTGGCAAGACTATAATGGCTCAAAGACCTGGATACAATCATGAATGATAGATCCCTCAATGGCTGTTAGCCAGGATGGGCAGGGCTGGTGTCCCTGGCCTCTGTCGGAAGCTGGGAATGGCGACAGGGGATGGATCATTTGATTCCCTGTTCTGTTCTTTCCCTCTGGAGCACCAGGCACTGGCCACTGTGGGAAGACAAGATACTAGGCTAGAAGGACCTTTGGCCTAACCCAATGTGGCTGTTTTTTAAAAGGGTGCAAAGAAAATGTATTAGTCCTGTGCTGAAATGTGGTGCAGGCTAAGCCTCTGTAAATCAGAGCTAAATAACAGCACAACACTGAGAGCTATGACTGGTGGCTGTAAATAAACTTAATGGGACCATGGGAAATTGAGCCACACTCATGATAAGCAGACATCCGGCAACGCAGATCATACTGGACCACGGATGTTGCCAGACTAGAGTGCTTCAACCTGTCATAGGACTTGCCATTCAGAATAACCACAATTGACATGAGTCCTCATGACACCGTTGTCAAAAACATTGTCTGTTGAAGTTGTCTTTAAATGTTTCTTCTCTTCAGGACTTTATGGGCTGCCCAAGAGAAATGGAAAACTCAAGGACATCAGCAAATTTGATGCCTCTTTTTTTGGGGTTCACCCCAAACAAACTCATACAATGGATCCTCAGCTCCGCTTGCTGTTGGAGGCCTCTTATGAAGCCATTTTGGATGGAGGTAAGCAGCTGAACTACTGCAGATGTAAAACTGGATTTTGGGCCTCTGAGGTTTTGAGGTGAGTCTTCTTGCCCTTGTCTAAGTAAACTCTCCTATAGGCTATGTGTATAGTATGCCCGTTTGGCGCAAAAAATATGCAAATGGGGCAAAGCGTGGAATATTGCTGGGCCGCATTTGCATAATTAAGGAAGCTCCGTTTTTGTGTAAGAGGCTTTTGCGCAACCCCCCCCCCCCCTTCCAAAGCCCCCTCCTTGCGTAAGAGCCATTCTTCTTCCTGAAAAAAATGCGGAATGGCTCTTGTGCAAGGGGAGGGGTTGCGTAAAAAGATGCCATGTAGATGACTCTTTTTCAAAAACCTCTTGTGCAAAAATGGAGCTTCCTTAATTATGCAAATGAGGCGCAGCAATATTCCATGTTTTGCTTCATTTGCATATTTCTTGTGCCAGACAGGTGCAGTAAAGACATAGCCACAGAGTTTGAGAGTTCTAGGACTTTGCCCATAGAGAGGAGAGAACTGGTGCAAGTGACACTTCAAAACTAAGTTCTCTTCGCTGGGACCAGGTCTAGGAAATCTCTTGAAAGCTCAGTTTGCTAAATCTTCTTCACCCAGAAAAGTTTTCCTGTTGCCCAACTTCCATTACGGTCTACTAAAAGGGCCATGTTCCAGTGTCCAGGGCAGTGAAAGGGAAGGAGGAGTTAATGTTAATCCTCATTAAAAGCTCAAGAAGAACGGCAGACCATCCAGTGATGTGTTCCTGGGTATCTCCTCAGTCCAGGGAAAATCATGTGGAATTGGATTCTACGGCCATAATTCCCTTACATGGAAATTTGGTTCTCAAACTGGGGTCTTCCCTTGTTCCACCCCTGCCGGTGCCTGGAACCTTTGGGAATGTCAATGATACCTATTTTAAAAAAACTTTTTCTCTAAAAGTGATTGGATTTAGGGTTTTTAAAAATGAGACCCCTCCCCTCCCCTCCTCAGTGGCCAAGCCAGAAACGTTCCGCCTACAGCTCTTACTACGTATGTATTGACACCAGGTCTTGGAGCCCAGTCATGGTCCAGCACCCCATTGTGCTTGTCGCTCTCTGGGACAGGGTTTAGACAGCACCAAGACACTGAATGGAGACCGATGACAGGGGAATAATGAGCTGTTGCTGGTCACCATTCCAGGCACTGTTCTCTCCACCCCAGCAACCCAGAGGGTATGGGTTTGATGGTGCAGGTTTCATAAGCAAGGCTGCTAGAAGGAAGCCAGTGAGTTTATTGGATGGGTGTTTCCAGGTGTGAGTGGCAGCATGAAAGACCAGCTCTGTCTGCTGGGCCTGTCTGTGCTGAGTGAGGGGCTGGGAAGGGCTTTCGCAGGGAAGGCAAGGAGTGTGTTTGCCGTGAGATGGAGAAGAGGGATGTAGTCAGCAGGACCAACAGCTACCATGGGGCAAAGTGAGGGGGGTCTAGCTCCAGGCCTCGGAAGGGGCGAGGCTAGAGTAGACAGTCCTTCTTGCCACCCAGAGCACAATGCTGAGCCCTCCCTCTACCCTCAGAGGGCACAGAGCAGTGCTCCCATGGCCATTCAGAGGGGCTCAGGGCTCTGCGGGGGAGGAGAGTTACCCAGCCTAAAATATAGAGGGAGAAGAGAATGGGTCCAAGGGCAGAGCCTTGAGGAACCTCCCCTGCCCGCAGCTGGAGGAAGTATGAGGCAGATGATCTGAAGGATGTGCCAGAGGAGGGGTTGTGGGAGCCAAGGAGGACAAGATTGCAAGAAGAGGCGCTTAGCCAGCTGTGTCAAGGGGGCTGAGCGGTCAGGGAGGATGAGGATGGAGTCATGGTTATGCAGTTTGGCTAGAGAGATCATTGGTGACGCTGAATATGATGGGATCCCCAGGTTGCTGCGTGAGACAGGAGTGACCCCTCGACTCTCCAGCCTGGGCAGTCTCTCCCAATGCTTTGCTAGTGACCAGCAGCAAACCCCTTCAGGGGCCGTTACCACTCAGCATAAGCATGTGAAGCCCCACCCCCAGCTGGATTGCGTGAATGCTCCCAAAGCTACACCGAGGCACCAGCCAGACCCTCCTCCCAGCACGGTACCTCCAGATACGCGGTCTAATTGATGAAGTGGTGAACCAATGAATGGAGAGTAGGCGTGCACGAGCCTTCGTAACCCTGAGCAGATGTACCAGACGCTTCAGGCAAACTCACTGGTAGAGAGAAACAGGAAAACAAGTTGGACTAAAAAAACAGATTTTAAGTGACAGGCAAAAGTCCAAGTTGCGCCATAGGGAAAGCAGATCTTAAGTGGACAGTCTAAACACTCTCAACCACCCTGAAGCTGGGCAACAGCTACATGAAGCAGCTTTTCTCACCCGCCGGTATTGCCGTTGACAGTACAGGGATTTCACTCTTGACACTTGGGCCCGTTACCGCTGTTGGAGTCAGTCTTCCAGGGGCCCTTGTTGCTTGCCGTGTAGGGGAAGGCCAAGCATAGGACCACTCGCTTTGTTCTGTTTTGTACCCTTAAGACCGTGTGTTTGGAGGACACCTGTTCAGGTATCTCTGATGGGTGTTGCTGAGTCCCAAGTTGAAACAACCCCAGTGTGTCTGCTGAGAGGGAGTCCTTGTCCATCTTCTTTTTAAGAACCGGGTTTGTTTAGCTTGGAAAAGAGAATCCTGAGAAGGATGTAACAGCTTTCAAGTACCTAAAAGGGTGTCACGGGCGGGGGGGAATTGTTCTCCTTGGCCTCTGAGGACAGGACAAGCCGCAGTGGGCTCAAACTGCAGCCAGGGACCATTAGGTTGGACATTAGGAAAAACTTCCTGCCTGTCCGGGTGGTTAAGCACCGGACTAAATTGTCTAGGGTGGGAGAATTGTGGAATCTCCATCGTCCGGTGTTTGAGCAGGTTAAACACCTGTCAGGGATGGGCAGATGGTGCTTGGTCCTGCCATGGGAGCGAGGGGCTGGAGTAAACAACCTCTCGAGGTCCCTTCAGTACTAGGATAGTCCAGCCGAGATGTTACAGTTCAGTGGCTGGTGATGCCTGTTTAGCACCTACCCAGGTGTTGGTCACGGCCCTTCTTGTTGTCTATGGAGAGCTAGTATCTGGACACTTGGATTTGAGTTACACTGTCTCGTAACTTCATCTGCCTTGACGATGCACCTCTGTAGATAGAGCAGTGGCTTTCAGCAGATCATAACCTTTCCCCGGTCCCTCACATGCCATATCACAGCGATATTCAGCTGATGAAGGGGGGGTACATGGTTGTCCCCTGATATGGAGTGTCCCGGTGAGCCCTTCGGTTGAGTGCAAGGGGCAGAAGACAGATTGAAGAGGGCTTAGGCTGGAACTGGAGGAGAGGCAGTCTTGGCACCAGTGCTGGATGAGCTTAGATATAAAGGAGCTGCGGTGATGGAAGGGTTATCTTCTCCCTCCCCCTCCTTTAAAATGCAGAAGATTAAAGCATGTTTGTGCCAGCGAAAAGGTAAGAGCTCATGGAGAGGAGGTGAAAGGAGGCATCAGGGATGGATGTTCCGTGACTCTGCCTCATTTTGCAGGACTCCTGGTTCTATGGTATCAAAAGTCTTTTATTTCTCTTGAGTCAAGACTTGAGAATTGTTTCGTGGTTCGCTAGGGGTATATCTACACAGCGGGGCTATTTCAGATACCAGAATTGTCCCGAAATAGCTACCCCCCGTCTCTTGAATGCACCTGCTACTTCGAGATTTTTATGTCCATTATTTTGAGACTTGTTCCGTGAGGGTTAAGGGATGTCTCGAAATAGCATGTTTCAAGATCTGGCACTGTGTAGATGTCAGATTTCAAAATATGCTATTTGGAAATAAGGTACCCAATTTGTGTAGCACTAATTGGGTATCTTGTTTGAGTATAAGGTGCTGAGCAGATGAACCCTAGATGTCTTGTGAAATAGTGACATCTGCAGTGCCTAGTAGTAATGAGGTGTCCTTCTCCCTTTTAGAAAAACTGCTTAAAATCTCCACACACTCTGGCCCTGTCCTTCCTCAGCCTTCAGCCACGCACGTTTCCTGCTCTTGTTCTCTGGGGCTCAGCTTTAACTCGTCTTCATTGCAGACTTCACCAGGACTTTTTCCTGGCTTGTAGCCCAAGCCCACTACCAGTCCCACACAGGCCTTTTCCCATGGGTTTAAGGGTGCTTTGAAACCGGGCTGGGAGCTATGGGGTAGCATCCTTGTTTCATTTAAACTGGGGCTTTAGCCCACCCACGTTGCATTGTAGCCTCACACTGCAATCCAGGTTACAGAACTTGGGTTCCCCTAGTCCTCCAATGCCATTCCGTTGTTCCTGGGGTCAGATGTTCCTGCCCCCTCCAGACTTCCTCCTTCTGTATAGAACTGACCAGGTTATATATACCCAGTCTGCATCCAAACCCCACACTCCGTGCAGCCTGCGCTGTCTCTACCCAACACTCTTAACAGTGAACAGACAGCATCCCAGCAAGCCGCTAGCTGCCCTAAGATAGGCTTCAAGGTTCTGGTGGAGCTCTGCTGTGAGATCCGTCAGGGGAGATGTGTCTGAAACAATCCCTTCCTGAGACCATCTCAGAGCAAAGAGGCAGCAGAGAAGGGAATTCATCAGCTGACAAATCAGGGCAGGGAGAGGATCCTGCTGTTCTGTAAACCTAGACAAGCTGCAGAACCCCTAGTGCTAAACGTACCTAATCCTGCCAGTTTGTCCTTCCATTGGCAATGGTGCCTGGTGTTTGATGTGCCCTCTGCTCTCCTCTCAGGTATTAATCCAGCTGCCTTGCGGGGCACAGACACGGGTGTCTGGGTAGGTGTGAGTGGGTCAGAAGCTGGCGAAGCATTTAGCCAAGACCCTGAACAGCTGCTTGGATACAGTATGACTGGCTGCCAGCGTGCTATGTTTGCCAACAGAATTTCCTACTTCTTTGACTTAAAAGGTGAGTAGTGTCCCAGGGCCCTGTGGCGTTGATTAGTACCAGCAGCTGGGAGAGGGCATTGGCATGACATCCGGCGGGTGAGGGGTCCTTTACGTAGACACAAGGACACAGACAGATGCATGTTTCAAAGCTCTTGCAATGGTGAAACCTTGCAAATAAGGTTTCATCCTACAATACAGCCAGCATCACACCTAGCCCTCTGGCTTCCTAAAAGCCAGAACTCTACCAGATGGCAAAGATCTGGCCTTAATGCAATACAGTTTAGCATATATTAATTAGTAACACAGAATTTTAAAAAATCATTAAGGTCAGAGTTTTAGATGATCTGCAACACTCAAAACTTCTGTTCAAACAATCTTTTTCTTTCTTACCGTAAGCCATTAACACAGGGGTGGGCAATAATTTGTGAGGGAGGCCACGCTGTGTATTTGGTAAGTGGTCGAGGGCCGCATTCTTCAATAATATTAATGGATCCGTGTCAGGGTCTGGAATGGAGGTTGGGTGCAGAAAGGAGCTTGGGAGTAAGGGAGTTGAGGTGTGGGATCTGGGAGGGAAGGAGTGAAGTAGGGGATCATGGCGGGCTGCACTCTTCCATTATATTAATGGAGGAGTCTGAGGGTCTGGGATGGAGGCTGGGTACAGAAGGGAGCTTGGGGTAAAGGACTGGGGTGTGGCAGCTGGGAGGGAGTTTGGGTGAAGTAGGGGATTGTGATCTGGGGTACAGAGCCTGAAAGGGGGTTGTGACCTGGTGCAGGGATTTGGGCTGTGACTAGGGATAGTGGATTGGGTGCAAGGTGTGAGAGGGTTGTGACCTTAGGAGGGGATGCATGTCTGGGAAGGTGTATTGGGGCTGAAGCAGGAGTGTAGAAGGTTTGGGTTACATTGGGTTGGGGGAAAGGAGGCTCTGGCTGAGACCTTACCTGGCTCCAAGCCAGCAGCCCAGCAGGTTCCTTAGCCAGGGTCCCTGCCTTCCAGCCCCTGTATGTGCTCAGGGGAGCTGCAGGAGCCATGTTTATTGCTCTAAACTCAATGCTGTGAGCCCTGGGGATGAGGGAAGAAGCACTTCATATGCAAGCTGTCCTGCAACCAGACAGCTTCTATTGGTCGAAATTGGCCAATGGGAGCTACTGGGGGCGGGGGCAGCATGAGAAGCCTCTCCCCTGCCTCCAGGTTCTCAGCATTCAGAAACACACACATAGCCCTGCACCCGGCTTTCTGGAGTGCCCAGCAGGTGCAAGGCAGGTGGCAGGGTGTCTGCTGAGGCTCTTGCGGCCGGATCCAGCCCGCAGATCATCTGTTGCCCAGCCCTGGAGTAGAGGCTGGAGCCAGCTTCTCCATTTATAGCAGGCAGCAGCAATAGCTGCTGCTGCTTCTGCAGGGGGTGATTTTTTTTTTTTTTTCCCCTTCCCTCCCCTCCCCAGCTGATCAACTGAGCTCCCTACCTGCACAGGGACCTCTGTGCATGGCTCAGAAAAGGGCTGCACAGGTGTGCAGCTTACAGGGAACCTTGCTTCTGGGAAGAGTCGGATGGTGGGAAGACCTTCTGGAAAAGATGTGTGATTGTTTATGCAAGCGCATGGTGGAGGGCAGTATAGATGCTGGCTACTGTTGAGGGATCCCAGGAGGACTCGCAGAGGGAGCAGTTACTTCATCTAAGCTAGAGAGTTAAAGGAGGCGAGAAGGACACCGGCAGTAGTGCAGGTGAAGGAATAGGCAAGCCCTGTGCTGTGCACAGTCTTACAGGCAAGGCAGAGGTGAGGAAGGTGGGCAGATTACACAAGAGCAAGACCAGGGCCGAGGAGGAAGCTGCAGGGGGAGAAATAATCTAGCCAGGGACAATGATTTTAGTGGTTGGAACAGAGAAATGGACAAGTCCTTCCTTAGGTGATGACATACCTGCGGCTCCCGCACATTATGCTGTTCATAAAAGCAAGTGGGAAAGGCAGAGTTTGTCTGACCCGGCCTTTGTGGTGGTCAGCAGGGAAGGAGGGTTACCTTGTCAATGCATCTGGATGCCCTTAATGTTCTTTAATGTTTATCCATCTCCTGATCCACTTCTGTAGAGATCAGAGCTCCTGTCCCTGGAGAGCAGAAATGGCAGGTTCTGAATAGCAACAAACAGACGAAGCAATGGGTGCTGGTGGTTACTGTATTTATCTTTCCCCAAGGACCAAGTATGGCCATCGATACAGCATGCTCCTCTAGCCTCATTGCGCTGGAGAATGCTTACAAGGCAATTCGTCATGGAGAGTGCAGTGCCGCCCTGGTAGGAGGGGTCAACCTCCTCTTGAAACCCAACACTTCTGTTCAGTTCATGAAACTTGGTGCAGGAAGGGCACTCTGGTGTCTCCTTCAAGAACTACCTCTACCTCTGAAGGGATACTAGGGGTGTTAAATATTGGTTAGCTGAGTAATTGAGTAACCTCATGAATTCTTATCTGTTACTCAACTATTCTATAGTCCCCAGAGGTGGGGCTGGTAGTCAGTGCACTCCAGCCCCACTCTCGAGGAGCCCCCTGCTACTCCACGCTACTGCCTTTGTATCAGGCAGCAGTGCAGGGTGCCAGGCAGCAGCTGGTCCATGAGGGAAGCCAGTTTTAAAAAACAGCTCGCCTCACTGACTGGCTGCCTGTCACCCTGTGCTGCTGCCTCTGATACAAGGGTGGCAGCGGCCGCTGTCTGGGGGTGGGTGAGGTCTGTGCTCCTGAACTCGGCGTGAACCAGAATTGAGCCAGGCTGCTTGCCTGCCCAGCTCCTACTACACTTTAAATGCAGAGCTGCACCAGGAGTAGGTTCCAGACCAATTGCAAGCCAGGATTAAAACAGGCTGCTGGCCAGCCTGCTTCAAAATTTATTGCAGGGGTGGGGAGGGAAATGCATGTAGTCTATAGCATTAACCTATAAGCTTTTGCTTATTGGTTAATTGACAACACTATTACATCCCTAAGGGATATGAGAGAATGTAATACTATGTCCTAGCACCTGGGCTATATCTATTCTGCTACGCTATTTTTGAAACCAGAAAGCGACTGAAACTATAGACTTGTCTTTAAAGTAGTAGAGAGCACTGACCATTGTATCAGCTGCTGCATGGTGCTTAAAGGGACAGCATCCTCGATTTAACAAATCCCTTTAGTAGTTTGTTTAAATTTTTAAATATACTTTTGAGGAGGGAATATAGCTTTTTTTTGTTTGTTTGTTAAATGTGGGAACTTCTGATGTATAGACAAATAACCCAACATGGATTTTCTACATGTGGAGATGTCATGGGCTTCTGCTGTGATGCCTTCTGTACACAATAAATATTTTTTGAAAGTGAGTTTATACTTGCTGCCTTCTTTTATGCAAAAATCAATGACAAAAGGGTAGTCGCTGCAGAAAAGAATCTCCATGAATACAGGTTGGTACCCAGAAGTTATTGCCAAAACAGGGCTAGGATTTCACCTTGGAGTCTTGTTTGAAGTCAATGGCACGACTCCCATTTGACTTTAGTGGAGCCAGGGTTCCCCCCAGGGCGTCAGTAGGACGCTGCATGGGTACAGGAGTCTGCCTATATGTAAACATTGTGAGACATCAAGGTCCTTCTCAAGATGCAGAATTACTCAACCACACAAACATTTAGAAATGCAGAACATGCACCGTTAGGTTGCACTTTCCACTGCACACCCCCTCCAATGAAAACTATTTTGTAGAGCTGGTAGTATGTTCTGGGAACTATCCCCTTTCCTTAACAATACTTCCCATTCCTCCCTCTTCCACTCCCCCCCCCCCCCCCCCCTTTCCAAATGAATCAACTTTCCTGTTTCTAGCTGTTCCCTTCACCATCCTTGTTGGGTTTTGTTTTGTCCTCATTTGAACCTACAGCCCTGGGCTTGCTGCACACTGTGCATGCTTTGTAGAAGGGTGCAGTGCTGCCCTGGTAGGAGGGGTCAACCTCCTCTTGAAACCTGTTCAGTTCATGAAACTTGCCATGCTTAGTCCAGATGGAGCCTGCAAGTCCTTTGATGCTGCAGGTAAGGGACTAGCTCCAGATCACATTGTGCTTTGCAGGAGACAGCTAATCTAGCTTCCTCCAGGGAATCTGTAATGAAACGGGAAAGTGGCTTCACTCTGTCCCTGCTCACGTGGTTTGGTCTGAACACTGGGACGGCCAGCAGCTGCTCACACGATAGGAACATAAACATTATACTCTGACTCCCTTTCCCTTAGGTTGGGGATCCCCAGGAAGTGAATGGCATTGCAAATATTTTCTGTCAATCGGTGCGAGAGCCTTTGCTGATTGGATCAACCAAGTCAAACATGGGCCACCCGGAACCTGCCTCGGGCCTTGCAGCGCTAGCCAAGGTAAGGTAACAGTGGAGCCATGGCTGCTCTATGGGCCTAGTGCTGTGTGCGCTGACTTGCGGGTATTTAGCTCTGCTGGTAAGAGGGACTTAGGAGGTGGTCTGGTTAACCATGCAGCCCATTCTGCTCTTGCCTTGTTTGAAAGTTGTTACAAAGGCTCAGCAACAAGCAGGGTGTAAATTCTCAGACAGGCCACTCAGGTCTCTCTGCAGACTCTTGAATTACACAGAGCGCAGAGGGTTCTTCATTAAATGGGTAATTGGCACTTGGGAAGTGGCAGGAGGTTTTCGTCCTGGGTAGAGGCTGCATCTCTTTGCTGTCACTGGTGGGCAAAGGCAAGTGATTCCAGTGGGGGATGGAGGAGCAGACTTGCGTTTGAACTCCCAGTTGGCCCAGACCAACCAGCTGGCCTGCCACCTCCTCATTATCCGCTACTGTAGCCAGTACCACTGGATGAAAGTTCGCTACACTGCTCAGCAGAGAGAACTGACTATGGCCATATAAAGCCCAGTGATGGCGATTTTAACATGGCTACATACATGGAGGCAGTGTAGTCTTGGAGTGACTGTTCCATGCTAAGCAAACATTGTGGTGGTTCTGTTCCTGTTCTAGTCAGGCTGGGAAGATTTTCTTCACTGCCATAAGGTCTAGGACCTGCAGTCTTGTTTTCTAAATGAGAACTCGCATTCTAGATCTCTGTTCGGAGACTTGGGATACATTCTGCAGTAAATGAAGTGGCCACAGAATCATGGAAAACATGGAACCCCCTTCCTGCTACATAGTCATTAGACAGTCACTTCCCATTCTGTATGTGAAACTGATTGATTGTTCCTTCTTAAGTGGAGTCCTTTGCATTTGTCCTGTTTACCTCAGGCCATTTCTCCAGTTTGTCCAGATCATTTTGAAATTTGATCCTACCCTCCAAAGCAGTTGCAACCCCTCACAGCTTGGTATCATCTGCAAACTTAATTGTATTCTCTATGCCATCATCTAAATCATTGCTGACGATACTGAACAGAACAAGTCCCAAAACAGACCCCTGTGGAACCCCACTTGTCATGCGGGAAGGGCATAACTGTGAACCATTAATAACTACTCTCTGAGAACCGTTATCCAGCCAGTTAAACACCCACCTTATAGTAGCCCCATCTAGGTTGTATTTCCCTAGTTTATTGATAAGATCATGTGAGATCATGTCAAATGCCTTACTAAAGTCTAGGCTTATTACGTCCACCACTTGTCCCTTATCCACAAGGCTGCTTATCCTATCAAAAAAAGCTATCAGATTCGTGTGACATGATTTGTTCTTTATAAATCCATGCTGGCTGTTACTTCATCTGCAAAAATCTGGAAGAAAATAAATTCCTTAATTACCTGCTCTATTATCTTCCCTGGCACAGAAGTTAAACTGACTGGTCTGTAGTTTCCTGGGTTGTTCTAATTTCCCTTTTTTATAGATGGGCACTAGATTTGCCCTTTTCTGGTCTTCTGGAATTTCTCCTGACTTCCATGATTTTTCAAAGATACCTCCTCTATCAGCTCCTTGAGTATTCTAGGATGCATTTCATCAGGCCCTGGTGACTTACAGACATCTAACATTTCTAAGTGATTTTTAACTTGTTCTTTTTTTATTTTATCTTCTAGACCTACACCCTTCCCACTAGCATTCACTATGTTAGGCATTCCTTCATCAGACTTCTCAATGAAGACCAAAACAAAGAAATCATTAAGCACCTCGGCCATTTCCGAGTTTCCTGTTATTGTTTCTCCCTCTTCACCGAGCAGTGAGCCAGCCTACCCTATCCTTGGTCTTCCTCTTGCTTCTAATATATTTATAGAATGTCATCTTGTTACCTTTTATGCCTGTAGCTAGTTTGAGCTTGTTTTGTGCCTTTGCCTTTCTAATTTTACCCCTGCATATCTATATTGTTTGCTTATATTCATCTTTTGTAATTTGTCCTAGTTTCCACTTTTTATGACTCCTTTTTGATTTTTAGATCATGCAAGATCTCCTGGTTGATCCAAGGCTGTCTTTTTTTTTTTTTTTTTTTGTCTTAATTTCTATCTTTTCCTATGCAGAGGGATAGCTTGCTTTTGGGCGCTTAATAACGTCCCTTTGAAAAATTGCCAACTCTCTTCAGTTGTGTTCGACACACTCCCTTCTACAAACTAATAAAAGAAAGTTCTTCTTCACACAGCATGTAGTCAACCTGTGGAACTCCTTGCCAGAGGAGGCTGTGAAGGCTAGGACTATAATAGAGTTTAAAGAGAAGCTAGATAATTTCATGGAGGTTAGGTCCATAAAAGGCTATTAGCCAGGGGATAAAATGGTGTCCTTAGCCTCTGTTTGTCAGAGGCTGGAGAGAGATGGCAGGAGACAAATCGCTTGATCACTGTCTTCGGTCCACCCTCTCTGGGGCACCTGGTGCTGGCCACTGTCGGCAGATAGGATACTGGGCTAGAAGGACCTTTGGTCTGACCCAGTATGGCCGTTCTTATGTTTCCTCTTAGTCTTGCTTCCCATGGGACCTTCCCTACCAGTTCTCTGAGTTTCCTGAAATCCATTGTCTCTGTTTTTCTGTTCTCCCTTCTACCATTCCTTAGAATCATGAACTCTGATTTCATGATCACTTTTACCCAAACTACCTTCCACTTTCAAATTCTCAGCCAGTTCCTTCCTATTTGTTGAAATCAAATCTAGAACAGCTTCCCCCCAGTAGCTTTTCTCAATCTTCTGGAATATGAAATTGTCCACAAACTTGTGTTGGGTAATCTGTGCCCCGCTGTGTTAGTTTCCCAACATATGTCTGGATAGTTGAAGTCCCCCATCACCACCAAATCCTGCGCTTTGGATGATTTTGTTAGTTGCCTTAAAAAAAAAAAACAAAAAAAAACAACAACCTCTTCCACCTGGGCACGTGGTCTGTAGTAGACCCCTAGCATGACATCACCCTTGTTTTTGTCACTTTTAACCTCACTCAGACTCTCAACAAGTCTGTCTCCTATGTCCATCTCCACGTGTGTGTGTGTGGGGGGGGGGGCAACAACACCTCCTATTGTTCCCTGCCTATCCTTCCTGAGCAAGCTGTACCCTTCTGTACCAATATTCCAATCCTCTATATTATCCCACCAAGTCTCTGATACCAGCAATGTCATCGTTGTGTTTTATTTATTAGCCCTTCAAGTTCTTCCTGCTTATTCCTCATACTCCTTGCCCTTGTATACAGGCATCTAAGATACTGATTTGACTTTGCCCCTCAGTTCTGCCTGGTTCCTCCTTCATTGTATGAAGGACTGTAAACAGCTTGGTTCTCCAGCTTGTGCTAAGGTCTCTGTCCCACCAGAGGGGGTTTCGTCCTCCTGGCACAGTTCCCTGCTCTCCAAGATACTTAATGAAGTGGAGCAGAACGTAGACTTGGGGTTGCCTTGAGAGCCCTGGTCTCCATGCGCAGGTCTCTGTGCCCAGTGCACTGTCTGCTGTAGGCCCTTTGTCCATTCCGTTGCATGAGGCTGTCCAGCCTCTGACAGCAAGAGCCATTAGTGCTGGGCTCTGTCCCTGTACAGAGCGCAAGGCGTATGCCAAGGCGTGTCTGATGCAAGATTCCCTCCCACCCTGACCAGACCTGTAGTAGTTCATCCGTCAGGTAGGTCTGCATCCTGCTGGTGGGGATGTCTCAACAGGGTTAAAAAAAGAGCTAGATAAAGTCATGCTGGACTGGTCCATCAATGGCTGTTAGCCAGGATGGGCAGGAATAGTGTCCTTAGTGTCTCTTTGTCAGAAGCTGGGAATGGGCGACGGGAGGGATCGCTTGATGATTCCATGTTCTGTTCAATCCCTCTGGGGCACCTGGCATTGGCCATTGTTGGAAGACAGGCCACTGGGCTAGATGGACCTCTAATCCAGTGTTTCTTAAACTTTAAGACCGAGGATCACCAAAAAAAATTTTTTTTTTTGGTTGAGCAAAAAAAAAATAAGTTGCCTACCCCTTTAAGGGTGGCCATTTCGAAATCTGTTGTTCTCCGCAGCACACCTCTGACTCGTGTCACACCGGTGTGCCACAGAACACAGTTTAAGAAACACTGCTTTAGTCTGACCTGTCTGGCCTTTCTCATTTTCTTATAAAAGAAAAATGAGCTCTGTAGATTTTTGTGGAGAGCTGATGGGAGGGAAAAGGGATGCACTTGTTAAGTAAGACAGAGCACTCTCCTGGGTAGAGTGTGGACAGAGCTAGGAATGCAGAATTATCATTTCAGCTCTGCTCCTGCTTTCTTTTGTGGCCTTGATTTATCTAAGCTCCTTAGGCTTTCTGTGCCTTAGTTTCAGCATCTGTAACACAGGGACCTCTTTCAAATCCAATAGACTGACTGCAGAAATGGATTTGTCTGATATTTGTAGAACAAAACTAACAAGGTGTCTGTTAAAAATAAGTCTAAACCAAAATTGTTCTGTTCTCTCGTCAGGTGATTCTGTCTCTGGAACATGGGCTGTGGGCTCCTAACATTCATTACAATACCCCAAATCCAGAGATCTTGGCCTTACAGGATGGCCGGATCCAGGTGGTTACTAAACCTGTCCCAGTAAAAGGTGGCCTTGTCAGTATCAACTCGTTTGGCTTTGGAGGTTCCAATGTCCACGTCATTCTGAGACCAAATAAGAAGAAATTCTGCTCTCTGGAGACGCACGATCTGCCGCGACTGGTCCAAGTTTGTGGCAGGACACAGGAAGCAGTGGAAACGCTACTAGAGCAAAGCAGAAGACTGGGGGAGCACAGCTCCTTTGTGACCCTGCTCAATGACCTCTCTGGGATCCCAATTTCATCCATGCCCTACAGGGGTCATACTCTGAGTCTGTCCTGGCTTTGGAGGCTTGAGGCTGTCTGGATGCTCTGTTCTGTTCCTTCTTCTGCTTCACTTCGTGGTGTGGGCACTAGTTAAAACTGCATTGATCCCCCCCGCCATTGACTGCATTAATCACAGGGGCAGTCTGGAGATAATCCCCTATCTCGTACAATTTCCCTTCCTACGGTAACAAATCCCATACTCTGAGTCTGTCCTGGCTTTGGAGGCTTGAGGCTGTCTGGATGCTCTGTTCTGTTCCTTCTTCTGCTTCACTTCGTGGTGTGGGCACTAGTTAAAACTGCATTGATCCCCCCCGCCATTGACTGCATTAATCACAGGGGCAGTCTGGAGATAATCCCCTATCTCGTACAATTTCCCTTCCTACGGTAACAAATCCCAGGAGAAGCACTGAAGGGCAGTGTCTCCCGCTCCCTGCGGTCTGCGAGATGCTCTCCTAGACTGACTCGACCTCTTTCCAGAGCCAGAGTTGGGCCGGGAGGGGGGGTGCCATGAGCAAGGCTCTCATTCTACTCTCGCCCCCCAGGCATGGGGACACAGTGGAAGGGGATGGGCCTGAGCCTGATGCAGCTGGAGCTGTTCCGACAGTCCATCCTGCGCTCCGACAAGGCTCTGAAGGACACGGGACTCAAGGTATCCGACATGCTCCTGCGTGCCGACGAGAACACGTTTGAAGATACTGTCCATGCGTTCGTGGGCTTGGCTGCTATTCAGGTAAGGACGAGGCCCTCTCCCTGCTCTGTCTGCCAGGCCACTAGTCCCGTCTTTGTCACTTGGCTCCTGGCCCTTTTTGTATTGTGCTGCATGAGCCCCGAAGGAGCAGGCCCGAGGAGCCCGGTGGTGAGCTAGGAGAAGTATGCGCAGGGCTGGTGTGCGCAGTCCCAAGGCTGAGTGCGCCCTGCCCAGGAGCAGCTGCAGCAACTTCCACTGAGCTTGGGGGCGGCATTAGGAGCCTGTCTGGCCAGAGCTTTGTGAGGGGCGGAGGCGGGAGCAGCAGTAAGTTTAGGAAGGGCCTCAGGCCTCCCTGTCCAGAGCCGTGTTGGCATTTCCAACGCACATCTCACCACCCTGCCGGGACGCTGTCCTGCTTGTCCCCTAGATTGCCCAAATCGACATTCTGAAGGCCATGGACCTGCAGCCTGACGGGATTGTGGGCCACTCGGTGGGAGAGCTGGCCTGCGGCTATGCAGATAGCTCCTTAAGCCATGAGGAGGCCGTTCTTGCTGCCTACTGGAGGGGGCGTTGCATCAAAGAGGCCCAGCTGCCCCCAGGAGGAATGGCGGCTGTGGGTAGGTACCTTTCCCAGGTGGTGAGTAGCTCTGTGCACACACGACTGCTCTCTCGTTCGTTAATCGTAACAAACAGACTTTGAGGCAGTAAACTTGGGCTGCCTGACATGCCAGTCAAGGAAGTAGGTGGAGAGAGACACTGTTCACAGCTCTTTAGGTTGTAATTTGACAGCGTGCTCATCGTGAGGGCGTATTAACCCAAAAGGGCTGAAAATATCAGAAGCATTAATAGGAATCCGTGGTAACCCCTCCTCTGCACTGTTCTCTGCTTCCTGCTACTCGCCAAGACCGGAGCAGAGAGGGATCAGTGACAGGGGCATTGCTTTGATCTGCAGCAGCGAGAAAAGATTAGGACATTTTAACTTTGAGAAGAGACATGGGACAGGAAGGGCTTTTTTGTTTTTTTGGTTCTTGAAATACTTCTCCCAGAGAAGTAAATTGGGCTCCCCAGTTCCACATTCTGTTCCACAAATTTAAAACCCATCAGAGTAAATATATTGATGCAACATCTGGTTGGCACTTACTGCCACAAGACCTCACGGAGCCAAGTACTTGGTAGGATTTTATCCTAAGGGGTATAAACCGACCTACTCCCAGCAGTAACTGATGGGGGAGCTAGGCAGAATCTTCCTCTAGAGGTAAGTTGTTCCATTACGGGCCAGTCCTTCCGCCACTGTTAGACTTGATATTGGACTATGTCGACCTTGGGTCGAGGCTGGTCTGGCAACTCCTCTGTTAGGTACAAGTGAAGCTTTTGCTATTTTTATTTTCTTGTTATTTCTTGAACCTCTTATCCAGGGCTAGCAACAGACTTTGGGCTCTGGGCAAGGTGGGGGAGCTCAGCTCTGGGTCCCCAGAAGGGGCAGAGCCGGGGGCTAGCTGCCACCCCCCCACCCCGGGCATCATCGGGACCGCACTATGTGGGGCTCCAGTGGTGATTTTTTTTTTTTTTTTT